CATCTGAATACTTTAGCATTTATCATAACCACCCGGAGGATTTGTTAAAGTCACTATTGTCAGCCTCTCCCCTGATTCAACAGGTCTGTGATAGGGCCCAGGAATTTGATTTGTATTTCCCTTTTTTTTTGAGTCAGAGTCTCACTCTGTCACCCAGGTTGGAGTGCACTGCCATGCTCCTGCCACCACAGCCTCGACCTGCTGGGCTCAGGCGATCCTTCCACATCGGCCTTCCAAGTAGCTGGAACTACAGGCATGCGCCACCACATCTGACTAATTTTTTTGATTTATTGTAGAGATGAGGTCTCGCCATGCTGCCCAGGCTGGTCTTGAACATGAGGGCTCAGGCAATCCTCTCGCCTCTGCCTCCCGAAGTGCTGGGATGACAGGCATGAGCCACTGCTCCCGACAAGGAATTTGCATTTCTTGTGTGTGTGTGTGTGTGTGTGTGTGTGTGTGTGTGTGTGTGTGTGTGTATTTTGAGTTGGAGTCTCACTCTGTTGCCCAGACTGGAGCGCAGTGGCCGCTCCCGGCCACGCAGCCTCGACCTGCTGGGCTCCAGCGATCCTTCCGCCTCAGCCTTCCAAGTAGCTGGAACTACAGGCACGCGCTACCACGCCCAGCTCATTTTTGATTTATTGTAGAGATGAGGTCTCGCTGAGTTGCCCAGGCAGGTCTCGAACCCGTGGGCTCAGGCAATCCACTCACCTCAGCCTCCCAAAGGCGCAGGATTACAGGCTGAGCCACTGAGCCCGGCTAAGGGAATTTGCATTTCTAATGAGTTCTCATGTGATGCTGACGTTACTGGTCCAAGCATCACATGCAGAATCATTGATTATAGAGATCCTTAAAATATCACTCTTCCTCCAGAAAGCCAGATCTTAATGCCTAAGGTTTGAACTGAATTATCCCCTAAGAAGGGTATATCCCAGGTAAATGTAATACCTGAAAATTAAAAGATCATCTGTCCTGAGAATAAGGAATAAAAAAGAGACCAGGCTAGAGTTTGTCAACTGGGGGCCTGAAGATAAGTTTTATTTAGCCTGTATTTTTTTAAAATTAGATGCCAACATTTAGAACTTGGAGGAATTCATTTGAAAAGCCCATTTTTTTAGGTTTCTCTTTGAATGTCAAAGTAGACGGCACCAGAGTACTTCTGTTGTCAGAAGAAAAACGTAAGGCTGGGGCTGAAAAATGGCTACCTCCTTTAACATTTGTAGTCTGGGGGGACTAAGTAACAAACGCGGACGTATAAAAGCCGAAAGGCACAAAACGACGTCCACGGCAAACTGCATCTCCCTTCTGTCCCTGAGCCCCGCCTCCCAGGGCGCCTCCTTTAGCAGGGAGAAGCGCTTTCCCGCTGTCTCCACCGCATAACCCTGCCACTCATCGGCATCACCTGCCCGGCCCTTCAGACACCTGAGTTGCCTCCAACCCATTTGACGGCTCCTCCTCACCACTTGGCATACGGTGAGCACTTTCGCGTCAACTTTTTTGCAGTTCTGTGTTTTTTTAGACTGGGAGATTCACAGGTCCATGAGGTAAGGGTTTATGAGCTCTTTTTAGTATCTATCCCTAATCACTAGGGCCCTGTCAGACTTTTAGCAGATGTACAGGGTTTGTTGAGCAAATTAATAAATTTATGAGCAAACAAGTCCGGCGTGGTGACTCACGCCTGTAGTCCCAGCACTTTGGGAGACTGAGAAGGGAGGACTGCTCAAGCACAGAAACTTGAGACCAGACTAGGCGATACACTGAGACCTCATCTCTAAAAAAAAAAATCACAAAAATTAGCCAGGTGTGGTGGCGCACACATGCAATCTCAGCTACTCAGGAGGCTGAAGTGGGAGGACCACTTGAGCCCAGTTGGAGGCTGCAGCGAGCTATGATCGCACCATGGCACTCCAGCCTGGGAGACAGAGTGTCCCTGTCTGTAGCAGAGACTCTGACTCAAATAAACAAATAAGAAATTTTTTTTAAAAAGAATTTAAATCCCATCAGGGCCCCAGCAGCATCCCCAGTCCATCTCGTAAAGCCTCTTCCCAGAACAGAGCTAGAAAGCTGGAAGCGAGGAGCCCCTGGCCTTGCAGGACGGGCCCCAGCTGGGCGCCCGGGCCCTTCGGAGACCCCGCCCGAGTCGGGCCGCCTCTTGCGCCCTTCGCGTCTTTCCCGTGGCCCCAGGACTCGGGCTCCTTGCTCTTTCTTCTCGTTGGCTCCCCACCGACGGCCCGTTTCCCAAGGACTGACTGCACGCCTTCTTCCTTGCCACTCATGAAATCCTGCCATTTTATGAACACGCCAACCATCACAGAGACACAGGCAACTGAACAGAGCCAGGACCACAAGCAAGGGGAAGTTACAAAGTATAGAGAAGTCTTACAAAACGCTTTCAGTTCTTCTTTCCTACTGCCATTCTGGGCAAGAGAAGCCCTGCTGACCCCTGCCTCTTACGAAATAGGTAACACTTTGAGAGGCTAAGGCGGGAGGATTACGTGAGCCCCGGGGTTCGAGAACAGCCTGTACCACACAGTGAGGTCCTTTCTCCACAAATAAGTTTTTTTTTTTTTTTTTT